TTTGTTTTTTTGATTTATTACTTATCGATTTTTCAAAATTTTGCGAGTTTTGAAATCTTACATTTTATTATTTTTGGATTTTTTAAATTCTTGATTTTTCAATTTTTCGGTTTTGACAATGTTTTGATTTCTCCATTAATTGATTTTTTCATATTCAGATTTTTCGATTTTTCAAGTTTTCCATTTCTGGTTTGAGATTTTTCAAAATTTTGATTTTTAAATTTTTCGATTTTTCAAAATTTTGCGAATTTTGAAATCTTACATTTTTCAACATTTTCAGCAATTCGATATTTTAATTTTTGGATTTTTCAGATTTTTAAAATTCTCGATTTTTCAATTTTTCCGTTTTGACAATATTTTGATTCCTCCATTAATCGATTTTTTAATTTTCCGATTTCTCAATTTTTCAATTTCTCTGTTGAAGTTTTGGCATTTTTCAAAATTCCGATTTTCCGACTTTGATTTTTTGATGTATTACTTATTCGATTCTTCAAAATTTTGCGAGTTTTTAAATCTTAACATTTTTCAACATTTTCATCTATTCGATGTATTAATTTTTGGATTTTTTAGATTTTTAAAATTCTTGATTTTTCAATTTTTCGGTTTTGACAATATTTTGATTCCTCCATTGATCGATTTTTTCATTTTAAGATTTTTCGATTTTTCAAGTTTTCCATTTCTCCGTTTAAGTTTTGGGATCTTTCAAAATTTTGATTTTTTAATTTTTAGATTTTTCGTTTTTTTTCTTACTCGGTTTTTCAAAATTTTGCGAGTTTTTAATTCTTACATTTTCGTACATTTTCATCTTTTCGATATTTTAATTTTTGGATTTTTTAGATTTTTAAAATTCTCGATTTTTTAATTTTCCGATTTTTCAATTTCTCAATTTTTCCATTTCTCTGTTGTAGTTTTGGGATTTTTTAATTTTGGCATTGTTCAAAATTTTGATTTTTAAATTTTTAGATTTTTCGACGTTGTTTTTCTGATTTATTACTTAATTGATTTTTCAAAATTTTGCGAGTTTTGAAATCTTACCTTTTTCAACATTTTCATGTATTCGATGTATTAATTTTTGGATTTTTAAAATCCTTGTTTTCTAAATTCTTGGGTTTTTACAATATTTTGATTCCTCCATTAATCGTTCTTCGTTTCCAGATTTTTCGATTTCTCAATTTTTCCATTTCTCTGTTTAAGTTTTGGGATTTTTCAAAATTTTGCGCGTTTTTAAATCTTACATTTTTCAACATTTTCATCTATTCGATATTTTCATTTTTTAGATTTTTAAAATTCCCGATTTTTCAATTTTTTGGTTTTGACAATATTTTGATTCCTCCATTAATTAATTTTTTAATTCTCCGATTTTTCGATTTCTCAATTTTTCCATTTCTCTGTTGTAGTTTTGGGATTTTTTAATTTTGGCATTGTTCAAAGTTTTGATTTTTAAATTTTTAGATTTTTCAACGTTGTTTTTCTGATTTATTACTTAATTGATTTTTCAAAATTTTGCGAGTTTTGAAATCTTACATTTTTCAACATTTTCATGTATTCGATGTATTAATTTTTGGATTTTCAAAATCCTTGTTTTCTAAATTCTTGGGTTTTTACAATATTTTGATTCCTCCATTAATCGTTCTTCGTTTAAAGATTTTTCGATTTCTCACTTTTCCATTTCTCTGTTTAAGTTTTGGGATTTTTCAAAATTTTGTGCGTTTTTAAATCTTACATTTTTCAACATTTTCATCTATTCGATATTTTAATTTTTTAGATTTTTAAAATTCTCGATTTTTCAATTTTTCGATTTTGACCATATTTTGATTTCTCCATTAATCAATTTTCTAATTTTCCGATTTTTTTATTTCTCAATTTTTTCATTTCTCTGTTGTAGTTTTGGGATTTTTAATTTTGGCATTCAAAATTTCAATTTTTAAATTTTTAGAATTTTCGTCTTTGTTTTTAGATTTTTTAGATTTTTAAAATTCTCGATTTTTCAATTTTTTGGTTTTCACAATATTTTGAATCCTCCATTAATCAATTTTTTAATTTTCCGATTTTTGATTTCTCAAGTTTTCCATTTCTCTGTTGTAGTTTTGTGATTTTTTAATTTTGGCGTTATTCAAAATTTCGATTTTTAAATTTTTAGAATTTTCGGCTTTGTTTTTGTGATTTATTAATTTATTGGATTTTTGGATTTTTTAATTTTCAAAATTCTTGATTTTTGACAATATTTTGATTCCTCCATTAATGGATTTTTTCATATTCAGATTTTTCGATTTTTCAAGTTTTCCATTTCTCTGTTTGTCTTGGGATTTTTCAAAATTTTTTAAATTTTTAGATTTTTCGATTTTTTTCTTACTCGATTTTTCAAAATTTTGTGGGTTCTTAAATCTTACATTTTTCAACCTTTTCATCTTTTCGATATTTTAATTTTTGGATTTTTTAGATTTTTACAATTCTCGATTTTTAAATTTTCCGATTTTTCAATTTTTCCATTTTTCTGTTGAAGTTGTGGGATATTTTAATTTTGGCATTTTTCAATATTTCAATTTTTAAATTTTTAGAATTTTCGGTTGTTTTTCTGATTTTTTTTCACACTCGATTTTTTTTCCATCTATTCGATATTTTAATTTTTGGATTTTTTAGATTTTTAAAATTCTCAATTTTTCAATTTTTTGGTTTTGACAATATTTTGATTCCTCCATTAATCGATTTTTTCATATTCAGATGTTTCGATTTTTCAAGTATTCCATTTCTCTTTTTTGTCTTGGGATTTCTCAAAATTTTGATTTTTAAATTTTTAGATTTTTCGATTTTGTCCTTACTCGATTTTTCAAAATTTTGTGGGTTTTTAAATCTTACATTTTTCAACCTTTTCATCTTTTCGTATTTTAATTTTTGGATTTTTTAGATTTTTAAAATTCTCGATTTTTAAATTTTCCGATTTTTCAATTTTTCCATATTTTAATTTTTGGATTTTTTAGATTTTTAAAATTCTCAATTTTTCAACTTTTTGGTTTTGACAAATTTTGATTCCTCAATTAATCGATTTTTTAATGTTTCCATTTTTCTGTTGCAGTTTTGGGATTTTTTAATTTTGGCATTTTTCAAAATTACTATTTTTAGATTTTTCGGCTTTCTTTTCCTGATTTTTTTCTTACTCGATTTTTCAAAATTTTGCACGATTTTAAATCTTACATTTTTCAACATTTTCATCTATTCTATTTAGATTTTTAAAATTCTCGATTTTTCAATTTTTTGGTTTTGACAATATTTTGAATTCTCCATTAATCAATTTTTTAATTTTCCGATTTCTCAATTTTTCCATTTCTCTGTGTAGTTTTGGGATTTTTTAATTTTGACGTTATTCAAAAATTTCGATTTTGAAATTTTTAGAATTTTCGTCTTTGTTTTTCTTATTTATTACTTATCGATTTTTCAAAATTTTGCGAGTTTTGAAATCTTACATTTTATTAATTTTTGGATTTTTTAAATTCTTGATTTTTCAATTTTTCGGTTTTGACAATATTTTGATTTCTCCATTAATGGATTTTTTCATATTCAGATTTTTCGATTTTTCAAGTTTTCCATTTCAGGTTTGAGATTTTTCAAAATTTTGATTTTTAAATTTTTCGATTTTTCAAAATTTTGCGAGTTTTGAAATCTTACATTTTTCAACATTTTCAGCTATTCGATATTTTAATTTTTGAATTTTTCAGATTTTTAAAATTCTCGATTTTTCAATTTTTCGGTTTTGACAATATTTTGATTCCTCCATTAATCGATTTTTTAATTTTCCGATTTCTCAATTTTTCGATTTCTCTGTTGAAGTTTTGGCATTTTTCAAAATTCCGATTTTTCGACTTTGATTTTTTGATGTATTACTTATTCGATTCTTCAAAATTTCGCGAGTTTTTAAATCTTAACATTTTTCAACATTTTCATCTATTCGATGTATTAATTTTTGGATTTTTTAGATTTTTAAAATTCTTGATTTTTCAATTTTTCGGTTTTGACAATATTTTGATTCCTCCATTGATCGATTTTTTCATTTTAAGATTTTTCGGTTTTTCAAGTTATCCATTTCTCCGTTTAAGTTTTGGGATCTTTCAAAATTTTGATTTTTTAATTTTTAGATTTTTCGTTTTTTTTCTTACTCGGTTTTTCAAAATTTTGCGAGTTTTTAATTCTTACATTTTCGTACATTTTCATCTTTTCGATATTTTAATTTTTGGATTTTTTAGATTTTTAAAATTTTCGATTTTTTAATTTTCCGATTTTTCAATTTCTCAATTTTTCCATTTTTCTTTTGAAGTTTTGGGATATTTTAATTTTGACATTTTTCAAAATTTCGATTTTTAAATTTTTAGAATTTTCAGCAGTTTTTCTGATTTTTTTCTCACTCGATTTTTTCAAATTTTGCGAGTTTTTAAATCTTACATTTTACATTCGATATTTTAATTTTTGGATTTTTGAATTTTTTTCGGTTTTTAAAATTCTCGATTTTTCAGTTTTTTGGTTTTGCTAATATTTTGATTCCTCCATTAATCGATTTTTTAATTATCCGATTTTTCTATTTCTCAAGATAGAAATCGAAGTACAAAAAAATTAAATTTAAAAATTTGAAAAATTGAAAATTTACAAAATCGAATAAGTAAAAAACCAAAAAACCAAAGTCGAAAAATCTAAAAATTTAAAAATCGAAATACATACTGAAAAATCCCAAAACTTAAACCTTGAAAATTTGAGAAATCGAGAAATCGGAAAGACGAAAAATCAGAAAGTCGAAAAATTAAAAACAAATCCCAAAATTTAAACGTAGAAAAATTGGAAAATCGAGAAATGGAAGTGGCTAAAAATCGAAAAATTTTAACTTAAAAAAAACTGAAAAATTAATTCCGAAAAATTGAAAAACCGGAAAATTTAAAAACGAGAAGGCGAAAAATCGAAAGAAATCCGTTCAAGTTCAGGAACATCGGAGTGGGCGTCTACACTCAATAACCATATAGTTTTTATAAAACATCATTTTAATAAAAATTTTCAAGTTTTGGAAACCTGATGTCCGTGTTTTTCAAATTGTGTTGGATCCACTGGTCCGCGTCTTGGTTTAGTTCGCCCGTGAAATAGTCCCTCCAGCCCCCGCTTCGTCCCTTCCTTACGAAATCCTCTTCGTCGCTTCGTATGACCCCCAACTCCTTCAAACCCGTCAAATTCACGGACTTGTTGTTCCGAAAATTGTCGATTTTTAGGTGTTCTTGGAGTGTTTGGTACTGTGTTTGGGTGTACTTCACCCCCAGGAAGTGCGACAGTCGTAAAATGCAGGCGTTCAAGTCCGCGGTCATGTCTTCATAGAACATGAAAAGAAGGTTGTCTTCGTGGCGTCGGGTCCAGCCTTCGTGGATGTGGGACCAATATGGCGTCCACGGTTCTAAAATGGCGCTCGATTAGATTTAATTTCGTCGTTTGTTTTCGTATTACGTAGGTTATTTTTGAAGTAGTGCCAGTACTGAGGGAAATTTCCGGTATATCCTTGAGTTCTGAACAAGCGATTGAGGTGGTAGAACGATACAGCGACATCTTTGGGGTTTCGCGCCAGGTACACCACCTGGAAGGGTCGTGTTACCAACTGACACACTAAAGTAACTAAAACGTACTTTGCATCCCACTTTTAGTAAGTTTGGGGGTAATAAGGAAAACGGGAGGTGGGTTTTAATGAAGCGGCGGTCACTCGATTGCATGAAGGTTTTCCAAGCCGGTGACGCGATTTCTTCAACTAGTAAACTTTTTTCTCTAGAGTGACTATTTTCCTGGAGGAATTCTTCTTTGACTAGAGGGTGAACGAAAGAACTGAACCTGTAAAACCAACTGGGGTTAGTGGTATTGGTAAGTGTTTATTAACGTTACTCCAGAAATGGGAATCGCGCGTCCAGCGGAGTCTGGAACGCCCGCTCGTAGTCCAGGTTGTTTGATAAAAGCCAAACAAGCTCTTGCGTCCATGTGGTACCTAAATCATTCAACAATCCATCAAAAAACCAATTATTGTCAGACAAACCTGATCTCGGAAAAGTGATGACCCACACATCCGACGGGCGCGCCTGGAAGTTGTAGTAAATTTCCGCGTTTTTCCTGTACCCGCTCGGGAAGAACCACTTTTTGGGGCCGACTTGGACGAACCCAGTGCGCTCCCCTCAAGAAAAATTAGTCAATGAACGCGCGATAATTGCGAAATCGACCCACATTCGGGGCACTCACCGGTGAAGTGGTTCAGTAGTTCCTCGTTGGTTTTGTCATCCAGGTCGTTTATTTGGAACGGGAATTTCAGCCACTCTACGTCGTTGTTGTTATGGAAGGCATCCTTGACTAGTTCTTCGTCCATCTTTGAACGGAGTGGTGCTGGTGGTTTCACGAATCGGACGATACCACCACTCGCCACGTGCTTATTGCGTTATTTTTATTGTTTGCGTGCTGCCGGGAGCTTTTCGTTGAGTGAAAGTGTAAATAAACGTGCTCTATTGCATGTAAATGTAGCCGCGACTGGCTTGGAATTACGACAGGTACCTAATGCAATAGCTAGAAAAAGTAAGAGGACGCTTGCTTCGTAATTAGGCAAGAGTGATAATTTTAATAGTCGGTACTATCCGTACCAATAAAGTTGTTAGAAATATAAAACTTCGGAAAAAACTCAAGCCAAGTGATAACATAATGACGGTGTTGAATAAAACATTGCTCGGTACTTAGTAAGTACTCGACGAATTGTCACCGGAGAAAGCAACAAAATAGACGTTTGTTTGCAGAAAATTTAGGACGCTTTCTTCGGTGCTTCGTGGTATATAGTTTTGTCTTTTGATTGTATTGATTGTGTATTGGGTCAAAGTAAATTCCTTTGTCAGTCTAATAATTATTGCGTTAACGTTTTACTTTCGTGATTATTTAGGCTAAATTATGTATAAAACACGAAAATTCCAATCTTGTGCGCTATGCTTAATTCGACGATAAAAAAGGAAATAAGAATGAGAAGCGATAGTGCAAAAAAACTCGGCGGCAGCTCTTTGTGCAGGTGGCTGCCTGGCTGCAAGTCATGAATTAGTGGAACGCTTCTTGTGAGTTTTTTAATTGGAAAAACATTTCGGCCCGGACACGTGGAGTGGTTGTCTTGTGACAAAAGTGACTTCGGCTGCGAAATTACGGATGATGAAACTATTGCCCAAGAAGCTTTAGAAGAACAAGAAAAAGTATCAAAAATGACGATACAGGGTTTCTATAAATGATTATCGGGTCGCAGTAGGTCATGTAAACGTGCCGCCTCTCAGATTTAATTACGGAGATCTATACTAACCGCATGGCAAAGATCACACCTGTGTATAACTGGTTGCCTAAACGCTTCATGTTTTTAAAAAATAAAACTAATTCATTACGATAAAAAGACACAAATTTATTGCGGTTAAACATCACAGTGAATGTTGAAAAATCATCAACAATTTCCTCAGATGAAGTCTTCCACGAGATACTGCCAGTTTGAACAAATCTGTCGATTACATCTCTAATGTGCCTTTAACGATGTTTCTTGAATTATTAAATCACGGTATTTGGCCAGATTTTCTTGCTTACAAGCGGTTACGGAATACACACACTCTTCGTTTACGAAGTCCCATTGCGATAACAACACATAACGATGAAAGTGTCTTGTTCAGCAGAATAAACAACGAAACGAAACTTACTTCCAAACTGGTACTAAAAAATTTAGAACATGTCTCTATGTAATGGGAAGATGACTCTGGTTACAGGGATGTGCCTGTCTTAATAAATATCAGAGACGACAGAACAAGCTGTTATTAAGAAAAGACACTTGAGACCCCAAAGCACTTTCAAATTTTTTCCAAACAGGAATACCTAGAACCTCAAAATTATTTTGAGCCACCTGTATAAGCAAATCTAAAAAATGTGAATGCTATGATAAATCCCAAGTAAAAACTCACCATATTTTGCACATTGTGGTGACCGAATTTGAATTAGAAAAAAAAAAATCAATCAAGAAAATCGTTAAACATAGGCAACCAGGTGCATGTTTAGTTTTTTCCTGGTAGATAGTAGTTCTACTAGGGAATTTTATTGAGAGAGTTGGTAGAAGTTGGCTGGCTTGGTAGATGAGTCATTCTGTTCGGTGGCGGTCACTCTTGGTGTATTCGTTATGAGAGTAACCACGTGGTGAGTTAGCTAGGTTAAGTTTAGCTGGTTTTCGTAGTTAATAAAAAGAGAAAACCTTTGTTTAACAAAAATTAATCGTAACGACGACGACGCCACAGTTTCCCCAACACGCGTAGCTAATTCTTGCGCTAACATGTGGTCTAAATTTGATTCACCGTTTGTAAATTCACAGTTCATGTTAGGATTTTAATCGTTAACTGGTTCTAACACAATTTAACAGTCAGGAGTTGGCTTAGATATGGCGCTTGCTAGATTTCATGAAATTTATTAGTCAGGACACATCTTATACTTAAGTGTTACATTATAACACATTTTAATTCCTCACACAAGATTGCTAATAGTTCATTTACGGCAGTTGAATCAATCTATCGTTGAACCACTCTGGAAAAAGACCGTGAAAGTACGGTAGAATTCATAATATCGTGTTCAGATTAAGACTGATTTTGGTAAACGACATAACCTCTGAGAAAAGAACGGGCGGGTGGGCGGGGCTAGTACTTGCCAAGATAAGACTGATTTTGGCAAATGCCAGACCCTCTGAGAAAACAGAGGGCGGGTGGGCGGGGCTAATAGCTGCTAAGATAAGACTGATTTTGGCCAATGAGATACCCTCTAAGAAATTTAATTAAATTATTATAAAAGAAGACACCAGAGGCCTCAAAGCACTTTCAAATTTGTTCCAAACAGGAATACCTAGAACCTCAAAATTATTTTGAGCCACCTGTATAAGCAAATCTAAAAAATATGAATGCAATGATAAATCACAAGTAAAAACTCACCATATTTTGCAGATTGTGGTGACTGAATTTGAATTAGAAAAAAAAAAAATCAATCAAGAGAATCGTTAAACATAGGCAACCAGGTGCATGTTTAGTTTTTTTCTGGTAGATAGTAGTTCTACTAGGGAATTTTATTGAAAGTTGGTAGAAGTTGGCTGGCTTGGTAGATGAGTCATTCTGTTCGGTGGCGGTCACTCTTGGTGTGTTTGTTATGAGAGTAACCACGTGGTGAGTTAGCTAGGTTAAGTTTAGCTGGTTTGGTAGTTAATAAAAAGAGAAAACCTTTGTTTAACATAAATTAATCATGAGGACGACGCCACAGTTTCCAGAACACGCGTAGCTAATTCTTGCGCTAACATGTGGTGTAAATTTGATTCATTGTTTGTAAATTCAAAGTTCATGTTAGGATTTTAATCGTTAATTGGTTCAAACACAATTTAACAGTCAGGACACATCATATACTTAAGTGTTACATTATAACACTTTTTAATTCCTCCAACAAGATTGCTAATAGTTCATTTACGGCAGTTAAATCCATCTAACGTTGCCCCACTCTGGAAAAAGACCGTGAAAGTACGGTAGAATTCATAATATCGTGTTCAGATTAAGACTGATTTTGGTAAACGCCATAATCTCTGAGAGCATAGAGGGCGGGTGGGCGGGGCTAGTACTTGCCAAGATAAGACTGATTTTGGCAAATGCCATACCCTCTGAAAAAACAGAGGGCGGGTGGGCGGGGCTAATAGCTGCTAAGATAAGACTGATTTTGGCTAATGAGACACCCTCTAAGAAATTTAATTAAATTATTATAAGAAAAGACACTAGAGGCCCCAAAGCACTTTCAATTTTTTTCCAAACAGGAATACCTAGAACCTCAAGATTATTTTGAGCCACCTGTATAAGCAAATCTAAAGAATATGAATGTAATGATAAATCACAAGTAAAAACTCATCATATTTTGCAGATTGTGGTGACCAAATTTGAATTAGAAAAAAAAATCAATCAAGAAAATCGTTAAACATAGGCAACCAGGTGCATGTTTAGTTTTTTTCTGGTAGATAGTAGTTCTACTAGGGAATTTTATTGAAAGTTGGTAGAAGTTGGCTGGCTTGGTAGATGAGTCATTCTGTTCGGTGGCGGTCACTCTTGGTGTGTTTGTTATGAGAGTAACCACGTGGTGAGTTAGCTAGGTTAAGTTTAGCTGGTTTGGTAGTTAATAAAAAGAGAAAACCTTTGTTTAACATAAATTAATCATGAGGACGACGCCACAGTTTCCAGAACACGCGTAGCTAATTCTTGCGCTAACATGTGGTGTAAATTTGATTCATTGTTTGTAAATTCAAAGTTCATGTTAGGATTTTAATCGTTAACTGGTTCAAACACAATTTAACAGTCAGGACACATCATATACTTAAGTGTTACATTATAACACTTCTTAATTCCTCACACAAGATTGCTAATAGTTCATTTACGGCAGTTAAATCAATCTAACGTTGCCCCACTCTGGAAAAAGACCGTGAAAGTACGGTAGAATTCATAATATCGTGTTCAGATTAAGACTGATTTTGGTAAACGCTATAACCTCTGAGAACATAGAGGGCGGGTGGGCGGGGCTAGTACTTGCCAAGATAAGGCTGATTTGGCAAATGCCATATCCTCTGAGAAAACAGAGGGCGGGTGGGCGGGGCTAATAGCTGCTACTATAAGACAAATTTTGGCTAATGAGACACCCTATAAGAAATTTAATTAAATTATTATAAGAAAAGACACTAGAGGCCCCAAAGCACTTTCAAATTTTTTCCAAACAAGAATACCTAGAACCTCAAGATTATTTTGAGCCACCTGTATAAGCAAATCTAAAAAATATGAATGCAATGATAAATCACACGTAAAAACTCACCATATTTTGCAGATTGTGGTGACCGAATTGGAATTAGAAAAAAAATCAATCAAGAAAATCGTTAAACATAGGCAACCAGGTGCATGTTTAGTTTTTTTCCTGGCAGATAGCAGTTGTGCTAGGGAATTTTAGTGAGAGGGTTGGTAGAAGTTGCCTAGTTTGGTAGACGAGTCATTCTGTTCGGTGGCGGTCACTCTTGGTGTGTTTGTTATGAGAGTAACCACGTGTGTGAGTTAGCTAGGTTAAGTTTGGCTGGTTTGGTAGTTAATAAAAAGGGAAAACCTTTGTTTAACAAAAATTAATCGTAACGACGACGACGCCACAGTTTCCCCAACACGCGTAGCTAATTCTTGCGCTAACATGTGGTGTAAATTTGATTCATTTTTTGTAAATTCACAGTTCATGTTAGGATTTTAATCGTTGACTGGTTCTAACACAATTTAACAGTCAGGAGTTGGCTTAGATATGGTGCTTGTTAGATTTCATGAAATTCATTAGTCAGGACACATCTTATACTTAAGTGTTACATTATAACACTTCTTAATTCCTCACACAAGATTGCTAATAGTTCATTTACGGCAGTTAAATCAATCTAACGTTGCCCCACTCTCGTGAAAGTACACTAGAATTCATAATATCGTGTTCAAATTAAGACTGATTTTGGTAAACGCCATAACCTCTGAGAACATAGAGGGCGGGTGGGCGGGGCTAATAGCTTCTAAGATAAGACCGATTTTGGCTAATGAGACACCCTCTAAGAAATTTAATTAAATTATTATAAGAAAAGACACTAGAGGCCCCAAAGCACTTTCAATTTTTTTCCAAACAGGAATACCTAGAACCTCAAGATTATTTTGAGCCACCTGTATAAGCAAATCTAAAAAATATGAATGCAATGATAAATCCCAAGTAAAAACTCACCATATGTTGCACATTGTGGTGACCGAATTTGAATTAAAAAAAAAATCAATCAAGAAAATCGTTAAACATAGGCAATCAGGTGCATGTTTAGTTTTTTTCCTGGTAGATAGTAGTTCTGCTAGGGAATTTTAGTGAGGGTTGGTAGAAATTGGCTGGCTTGGTAGATGAGTCATTCTGTTCGGTGGCGGTCACTCTTGGTGTGTTCGTTATGAGAGTAACCACGTGGTGAGTTAGCTAGGTAAAGTTTAGTTGGTTTGGTAGTTAATAAAAAGAGAAAACCTTTGTTTAACAAAATTAATCGTAACGACGACGCCACAGTTTCCCCAACACGCGTAGCTAATTCTTGCGCTAACATGTGGTGTAAATTTGATTCAGTTTGTAAATTCACAGTTCATGTTAGGATTTTAATAGTTAACCGGTTCTAACACAATTTAACAGTTAGGAGTTGACTTAGATATGGCGCTTGTTGGATTTCATGAAATTCGTGAGTCAGGACACATCATATACTTAAGTGTTACATTATAACAATTCTTAATTCCTCACACAAGATTGCTAATAGTTCATTTCCGGCAGTTAAATCAATCTAACGTTGCCCCACTCTCGTGAAAGTACACTAGAATTCATAATATCGTGTTCAAATTAAGACTGATTTTGGTAAACGCCATAACCTCTGAGAACATAGAGGGCGGGTGGGCGGGGCTAATAGCTTCTAAGATAAGACCGATTTTGGCTAATGAGACACCCTCTAAGAAATTTAATTAAATTATTATAAGAAAAGACACCAGAGGCCTCAAAGCACTTTCAAATTTGTTCCAAACAGGAATACCTAGAACCTCAAAATTATTTTGAGCCACCTGTATAAGCAAATCTAAAAAATATGAATGCAATGATAAATCACAAGTAAAAACTCATCATATTTTGCAGATTGTGGTGACCGAATTTTAATTAGAAAAAAAAATCAATCAAGAAAATCGTTAAACATTGGCAATCAGGTGCATGTTTAGTTTTTTCCTGGCAGATAGTAGTTCTACTAGGGAATTTTATTGAGAGAGTTGGTAGAAGTTGACTGTCTTGGTAGATGAGTCATTCTGTTGGGTGGCGGTCACTCTCGGTGTGTTTGTTATGAGTAACCACGTGGCGAGTTAGCTAGGTTTAGCTGGTTTGGTAGTTAATAAAAAGAGAAAAACTTTGTTTAACAAAAATTAATGGTAACGACGACGACGCCAGTTTCCCCAACACGCGTAGCTAATTCTTGCGCTAACATGTGGTGTAAATTTGATTCACTGTTTGTAAATTCACAGTTCATGTTAGGATTTTAATCGTTACCTGGTTCTAACACAATTTAACAGTTAGGAGTTGGCTTAGATATGGCGCTTGCTAGATTTCATGAAATTCGTTAGTCAGAACACATCTTATACTTAAGTCTTACATTATAACACTTTTTAATTCCTCACACAAGATTGCTAATAGTTCATTTCCGGCAGTTGAATCAATCTAACGTTGCCCCACTCTGGAAAAAGACCGTGAAAGTACGGTAGGATTCATAATATCGTGTTCAGATTAAGACTGATTTTGGTAAACGCCATAACCTCTGAGAACATTGAGGGCGGGTGGGCGGGGCTAATAGCTTCTATGATAAGACTGATTTTGGCTAATGAGACAACCTCTAAGAAATTTAATTAAATTATTATAAGAAAAGACACCAGAGGTCCCAAAGCACTTTCAATTTTTTTCCAAACAGGAATCCCTAGAACCTCCAGATTATTTTGAGCCACCTGTATAAGCAAATCTAAAAAAATGAATGCAATGATAAATCCCAAGTAAAAACTCACCATCTGTTGCACATTGTGG